GAGGTGCCACACATTACTGTGAAGAACAAGAACTACATTATCAAGGTTATGTTTCTTTGTGCAGTGGCACGTCCGCGTTGGGATGCCACACGACATCGCATTTGGGATGGAAAAATCGGTCTGTGGCCGTTTGCTGTTTACGAACCCGCTGAGAGAGCTAGCAAGAACAGACCGGCTGGAACCTTAGAGATTAAAACTTATAGCGTCGACCGTGAGATCTACCGTCAAGCACTATGCCGGATGGTCATCTCGCGCATTAAAGAAGTATGGCCGTCTGGCAAGCGTGTGGTGCTACAGCACGACAATGCGAAACCGCACGTCGCGGCGGATGACCCCGAAGTGGTCGCCGCATGTAGCCTTGGGAACTGGAACATGAAGATCTGCCCACAACCTGCAAATTTACCAGACTTTAATGCCAACGACCTGGGGTTTTTCAATTCACTGCAGTCACTGCAGTACAAGAAGCGAGCAAAGACTATTGAAGACCTTGTAAACAACGTTGACAGCGCATTCAAGGAGCTCCACTATACCAAACTTGACAGCGTATTTCTAACGCTTCAGTCTGTGCTACAAGCATCGATGAGAGTTGACGGCTGCAACAAGTACAACATTCCACACCTTTCCAAGGACAAGCTGAGAGCAGACACTGGTCTTTTGCTGCCGTCGCTAGCTTGTACTGAGGAGGTGTACAACAGAGCAAAGTCGTTCTTAAGTTCGGTTCAGTTGAAATAAGTAATGGATACACGCACTTAATTCTTATATTTCCGGACAACAGAATTACAGGGACTGCCTTATATTTTCGGACGGAGGGAGTAGTAATTAGTAACTGTGCAGTCTTGAGAAATGAGGGCGTTCTTCCAAATATCGCAAGAGCTATAGCATCAGAGTCTGAATGTCTGCTTCGTAGTGAATGCAGCCGACACGGCGGTTTTCGTGATTCCATTCAAAACGCACTTAGCCTTGAATTGTACTGCTGGTCGAGAATCTTGGAAGCGAACGTCCTTCCAGGTTCTGTGTTCGTCAAATGAGGAAATGCGTAATGCAGGGTGTTTTTTGTAGTGATCATGACCTTGTCGTTGGTGGTAACAATGGCGTTGTTGAAATGCTGCTCGAGACGGACAAGCTTGATATCGTTGTCCTCGTGATAAAGCGAAATCAGTCTCCAGTCTTCCAGAAACGACTCCACGCCACGTTCTGTTTTTTTTTGTACGTCGGATTCCATTGTTGCGTACAGAACATTTTGTTGAGCTGGCGGTGCACTTGGTTGCAGTATCCTCGTATCATACGGTTGTTCCTAGAGGCGAAAGTACACGGCTGCCACATTCCACATTGCCGAGGTTGCCGAAATAGTCAGCTGCGCATATGGTGTTGCACTCCGAGTTCTTCAGCAACCTCTCGCCACTCCTTGACGCTGGTCTCGAGGTCTACTACGATATTGAGCTTGTTCAAAAAGTATCGCTCCTGGTGCATCCGAGTACGCTGACAGCGGAGTTCCTCGTTGATAGCTTCACGGACCTTCTCGTCCTGCTCGAGTTATAAAGGCGGATTGGATGTTTTTGTAGTGTCTGGCGACGCCGACTCCGTCAGCTTGGCGACAGACCAATTGTGTGAAGTGCTATGAGGGACGTTGCAGTGTCAGCAGATGTGTAGCGGAGTTGCCGCCGGTGACAATCTCGATGTTACCAAGAAGATCACGGCAGAACGCTCCGGCAGGACCGCGCTGATGACAGCAGGAACGTGGAAGCCGCTCAGCCTGCCAACAACAACTCACGCGGCTAACGTCACCAGAGGTCTTCGTCAGGTAATTGGATATTTGCACCTCTACTCTACGCGTGCTAGGGACAGCTAGTGGCGGGTTAGTTTTTGTCTTTGATCTTAATTCATCTCAGTTCGCAATTTGCATTTTTCTGAACAAACAACACTACAATATCTGCCCTTGCTCTGGTCGGGCTGGTGATAAAGGACGGACATGAAACCAGCCCCTGCTGCAGTCTAGCATTGTCATGCTCGGTCTCGCAGTTGACACTGCGTTCGATGTTGGTCGCGAGAGATTTGAGTCACAGTGAGTGAATGTAAAACTCGTGGTTGACATTGTATACCCGACTTCTGCATAAGCTGACTTGGTGGGTTGCCCGTCGTTGTGTGTGCGTATGAAGCTCAACGACAGTCGGTATGGATGATGGGCTGTCTTAATACTGGTTTCCATTCCGCTCGGTTTTTGGTTTGCAGGTACAGACAAGAAAAGGGGATATTGCTACAACGAAGTACAATCCCACAGGCTCAATAGGGGAGCCAGTAAATTTGGCTCAGGGTAATCGAAGCGCTTGGACTCCAATTTGGCGTACAGGTCTACATCTGGAATGAGATATTGCACGCTTCATGTCGCCAAATGCATGACTGATAGGGAACACGTTTCAGGATGACCAACGTCTACTTGCAATGCAGGCTTCAGCAATTCGTTGCCGAATCGAGCGTACATATCGACTTTCATTGTTAAGTCTCTCTATTATTATTAAACTTAATTATGGCCAAGTGCATTCTGGTGTCTTCCAAAACCCATATAAAAAGGTTTTATCAGTTTAGTCGGTAATTTATTTTAAATTACAAACAGTTTCAAACCGGTTGCTTGGAACACGACCTTCGGGAATAGTGAAGTTCAGTCATGCGTTTAATCACGTTGCTACTTCAAAGTCGGTTTAGAATTATTCACTCCTTGGTACATGTGTTCTCTGGATTTTATATCCAGAGTATTTACAGAGGTTCAATTCTGTCTAGCAAAAAATCTTTACACTTACTATGATATACAAATCATCAGTTCTCTGGATATTTATATCCAGAGTCTTAGTGGCTTCGGAAACCCTCGGATATCCTGTATCATATTATATTTGGTTACTTTTGTAATAACTCAATACTTTGAATTGACAAAAGAAGAGCTAAAGCGACGAAATACTTTATAACCTTTTAAGATCCGATCCAAAAACTGGTGAATGTTGACCCAGTCGGACAAGAACGACATTCCCGCAACCTCATCGATTGTGTTCTCCA